GCTTTAGCACACGATAATGCTTACATTCATTTGCACGGTGCGAGCCAGGCCATCTACAGGTCAGCCCTACAGAGCCAGTCTGGGACCGGCCTTAAACTTTGGATATCACCAAACTTTTGTAGCCAGTTTCTCGCTAATTGTAAACCTACCTATGACCCCAGGCGACCCCCACCACCATAAAGTGCAAAGTATCTTTGTAAAGAAGTAGATCTACCAACAACTCCAAATGCTCAGCAACTCGCTTCCCTAGAATTACAAAGTTCTATGGCTGGGTACCCATTCCCACCTGGGTGAAGTGAGAAAAATTCGTGTAACCTCACGATTACGAGTCCGGTAACCTTACCACATTTTTGTCCTGTAGCATACACCACATATTTTACATAAGGGAAAGTCACTGTGTCGTACAAGCAAACCTCTCAGACTTGCTATTAGAAACTATTTTCGAGTGGGAGATTGGCAGATTCTCTGGTGTGGTTTGCTCCTTTTTTCCTATTAAATGTTTATTGTCGTTGTCTCCCTTCCTTCATTCTTTTGTGTTTGCTACTCTCTTATAACACCTGTAATCGCGTTGGCTCGTATTTGGCCTAGTTGTGTTACAAGTACCGTAAAACCTTTGCTAAAAAAATAAACCAACATTTTTTTTTCAATAGAGCATCGAAATCTATAGGCGTGGATTTCTCGAAGGAATCGGATTCGAGGGGAAGAGGGTACATGGTTATAACCAATTAATGTAATGATATCAGTGTGCCAGTGTGCACAAATCCAATCGAATGAAACCAGGGGAACTGACATTAACATAAAATCCATAAAATCAAGCGTTTTCGCGTTTGCGCTCTCACTCAACATTCATTTCGTTCGTAGAAAATAGCTTCAAGTCCGATTTTCTTTGAATTGGTCGACGGTTTACATCACTATTAAGTTGTAAAGAAATACAAATTTTCCTCCCTGTGACGTGCCATCGTTCAGTTGCATGATCCCTTTGGGAGAAAGGTGATTATTTTCCAATGTACTTAACTGAATATGCCATGACAGTGGGTAGTTTTTTCGTGTCAGCTTGAGACAGCAAGAGTGATATCTCAGTAAACAGATTGTTTAGTTTGAAACATGAGAATGGTAGACGCTGGTGTCAACTTGGCTATTTTACATTTATATATATGTGTGTGTATATAATATATATATATATATGTCTGTGTGTGTGTGGGTGTGGGTGTGGGTGTGGGTGTCAGTGTGTGTGTGAGGCCCTTTAGACTTATGTCAGTTGCTCCTGAAGACGCCTTCGGGGCAAAAAATTTTGTTTGTTTAGTTTGTTTGGTTCTTGGTTCTTGGTTCTTGGTTCTTTGTTTTGTTTGTTTGATTTATTAAAGTTTTGAAAAGTTTTTTTAAAAACGTTTATTGACCGAAAATTACTCAAAACTCTTCTTCCTTACTCTATTGTATATTCAATGTACACACACACACACACACAGGGGGCTCTCGTGGCCTAGAGGTAAGGTGTTGGCCTCTCATTCAAAGGTCCCGGGTTCGATTCCGGGTAGCGACCAAAAAATTTTCTTCTCTAAAATTGTCTCCTTTCACATCCTTTCCTGATCTCTAATAATGTTCTGTTGTCTGCTTTCATTTCCACTTTCTGTCCCCACCCCCTCACCTCCTTTGCCACCTCCTCTGGGCTCCTGACTCTTTCTGCAGCCTTTCTACTGCTACTCCTTGGCTCCTCCTAACTGCTGTCTTTCTGCCACACCCCTGATCTTCTGGTAGGAAAGATCTACACCTAGCCTTCTCGGACAAGGGCGAAAAATCTCGGAGGGCCCGTGTGCAAGTTGCGCACGTTAAAGATCCCTTGGTGGTCTAAAATCGATAAGAGTAGGCTTCGGCCGCCACCCGGGCAAAATTCAAAATTTTCTACCAACTAAAAAGTATTAGGTGTGTCCCGCGCGCTCATATGACCTTATGCAGTTGCGAACGCCGTAAAACCCTATACTAAACAAACAACAAACAAACAACACACACACACACACACACACACACACACGCACATACACACACACACATACACACACACGCGCGCGCCCACGAGCTCACCGTTATCTCAGTCTGTCTCATGCATGACTATGGGACAGATGACCCTGGTTCGAAATACCTACCAGGCATTCTGAACTTTTTTTTGCGGGGAGGGGATGGAATTTGTATACCTTTTAGCGGTGTACTTTATCGGAGATGGGCGTTATTTCGTTGATGTTATTGAAAGTTATGTTAGGCCTATACAATGAATCGCATACACACGCACACACTCGCCCCCCCCCCCCCCCCCCCCACACACACACACACACTCACACGCATACTCACACGCGCCCAGGGGAAGAGAGAGAGAGAGAGCAGGGAGAGAAAGGGAAAGAGAGAGCAAGTAACTGAGATACTTCCTTTATCTATGTGAGAATTTGATTCATCTTGGGGTATTTGTCCCTCCACATCCAAACAAACTAAATCGACAAGCTAAATAATGGAGAACAAGAGCCGCAATAGTGTATTAGAAAATGGGGACATAAGGAAAGTTAAAAGTACAAGCAATTATAGCTGTCGTAAGCTTAAGAGGTAAACATTATAAATACTATTATTGTTTCAGCTGGTTTCTCCTGGTGCATATTAAAATGTATGGTTTACGTCTAGAGTTCAGCAACACCGTTGCCATTTTCACTTAAGAAACTACTTCTGCACTGATAATTGTGTTGGAAACTAATTTTATTTTTTTTGGCCTCCAAATAAGGCGCAGAGGGTCTTTGCAAATATGGTGAGCGATATCTTCATCTAATCCTGACTTTTTTTTTTCGTTTTCTCACTTTTTGTTCTTTTGTTCTTTTATACATTTGACATTTGTTTGGTTTGGTTTCGTTTGAGTATATATTTATACTCACGGACAACAGAAAGTATGATTAAAAATCAAATATTGTACTTACAAACTAATTTTCCTTTGAGAAGTTGTTTCTTTTCTAAACGATACACACGTCAAAGGAGAAGTCATGAGGATATTGAATTTTAATTGAAACATTCATTTTTACATGAAATATTCATTATAGGTTGAGCACCCCATTTTTCCAAATTCAGAAAATCAGTACCGCTTGTGGCACCCGCCGATTAATACCGTCGTTGCAAGGAAAAGATAAATTGTTGGATGAACTGCTTGGGGATTCTTTCTAGCGATTGCTCAAGTTCATCTAACGTCAGGGGCTGGTTTGATCGTTGTGGTAGCCGTTTTCCCATCCCATCCCACAGATGTCCATTAGAGGAATGATCTGGTGATACAGCTGGCCAGTTCATACAGCAATGCCATTGGTATAGAGTTGTTCTGTCAAGCCCTGCAATTATGTGGCTGGAATATAGACCTGGAAGCTGGTCTGTAGGGTCTCAAGTTTATCTCCCAGGGACGATTCCTCACAGTTCTCTCTGAGATTAGTCTTAAACTTGGGATATCACGTGTTTGTCAGTGATACAAGACGCGTTATGTTCTTGAGATGAAGGCTGTGAATGTGTCGGTCTTATCTCTACGTTGTGGTCCGAGCCTTGCCACTTCTAGGTCGATCATGTGTCGTTCCAGATGCCCAGACACATACCCACAAACATCATGATGTTTCTGTAGACGTTGAGCCTTTGAGCCACATCTGGCTGTGTACTCCCAGCCTAGAGCATTCCTAACGCTCGCCATCCATCACTTTCAGACAGAGGTGTCAGCTTTTGAAAGCAGAAAAATCGCTGTATTTAATGTTTTTCGGTTCCAACAGTCTTCAAGGAAGTGAATCATACGCTCAAATTCTAAACACGTGTATAAAAAAATCGCATTCTGAGGCAATTAAACGAATTGAAATCCAAACGATAGCGAGACAAAGAAAAACAAAATGTTGTTGCATTAATTCTTCATGATACATGCGACATCGTAAGTTGTTTTTATGCGACATTGACACCTTCATTATAGTCTTAAAGCAGGGTCGCTTCAATGTCTTATTATGAACAATAAATTACTGTATGCAGGCCTTGGGTTCATACTAATAACCACAGAATCATTTTCTTGTTTTCACGTGAAGCGTTACAGCTATTTTGAAATTCTTGATTGAGAAGAAATGATTTCTCTTTACCAAACATTGTTGTTTCGTTTGTTTACTTGCTCATTTTGTTCTGTTTACTTTGAAGCGCAAGCACGTGTGTTTGTGTGTTGTTGTGTCAATATGTTTGAGTCAAAACATAGTTTTCAATGGTGGTCCAAAGCTGGGATTAATTACCATATCTTGTTATTAAATGAATTGTCTTTACAGCACATCAGTCGTTGCATATTCATTATAGATGCTAGAAAGATATATAAATGGATAGATAGATAGATAGATAGAGAGACAGATAGATAGATAGATAGATAGATAGATAGATAGATAGATAGATAGATAGATAGATAGGTAGATAGATAGATAGATAGATGAATGGATGGGTGGACGGAGGGATGGGTGGATGGATGGATGAATGGATGGTATAGATCATAGATTTATATAATATAGTTAGGTAAATAGAAAGGTAGATAGATATATTATAACGTATCGGTATAACACGAACGGGTTGATCGTTGAGCGAAAGGTCATATTAAATAATGACAATTGGAATAGAAGCAAAACAGTTGATATCTACCAGCTCTTAACCCTGATTTGTTGTTTAGAAATTTAAGGTTTGAAATGTTTTGTAACATCTGTATTTTTTTTCTTTTGTCTTAAATGTTCGATCTTCTCCACCTCCAGCCAGAAGTGCCCCGTATGCCTGAGATCTGCCCTTAGCCTATAGATCTCGTCCCCATGTGAATCTCGGCCTCCTTCCTCTCTTTCTACTCCACGGAGGGGGGGGGTGGTGGTGGCCATCTTAAGCTTTGTCTTGTCAAGCTGTGGACTTGCTTCCTCAGTGTGTGTCCAATGGGGGGGGGGGGGGGCTTTACTTTTCTGCAACTTTAACCTTGTAATTTCTGTCACCCTCAGGGGTTCCCCGGCCGCCCAGGCGAACTGTGTGCTCTCCCTTTCAAGTCTTTCGCTCTTACTGCACAAATTCTCTCGAGACCTTGACGGCGACAGCCTGCAAGCGGCCAACAGTAGCTCGGAACACATGGGTCACTCGCGCTGGACAGTGGCCACTACCGATACGATCCTCTCCCTCATGGACATCAACCACAAGCCCAAAGAAGGGTTGCTGGGGCTCTGCCAGCAGGTAGGTGCAACTTAAGTGGTCGCTTTTTAGGACAAGCGGGCTAACCCAGATTTCTAGGGTTTCCAGAAATCTTGACCTACACCAAAAGTGGGCTTTACCCTACCTATAGGAGAAGTTTGATTTCATTGGTGTGTATATTTATTTAGTTAAAGAGAAAACTCTCCTTGTCTTTTAAAGAAACTGAACTAGGGGCAAAAATTGTACCTTCAATTTTGTCAAAACAGCCTTTTTCGGGATAGCCCCCTTGTGCTTAAAAGCGACCAAGTAGGAAAAAGAAAGAATGTTTCACGCTATAAAATGTTACTGCGCGCGAGCAAGCGTTAGTTATACGCTCGTAGTTATAACTGTTCCTCGTACTTGACACACATACGCAACACGAGAGACTACACAAGACCAAAACAATTAATGTAATTTATTTTACGCCCCTATCGACAGTTTGTGCTACTGAGACTGGCGAGAGCATACTGTTATTTTCTTACCATAAATGTGTTTGTATAATGCTATGTACGAGCTTGGAAGGGTGGCCCAGGACATACATATGGAAGGAGCTTGTATGCGGCCTATACCCTGCCAGGGGTGAAAGGCATTGGTTATGATGAATGATATGAGTGTATATTTTTGTCGCAGAAGCTTATGAAAGCACATTGATAATATTTCCCAATGAAGGGTCAATAAAATGTGTCCCAAAGAGGTTATATGTAATACTTGAGCTCGCGGAAGTGACGTCACACGTGTCAGACATGGGTGCCTTCCACACCCATAGGCATGGCCGGCGTGCTCCCATTTACATGAATAATCTGAACCCCCACCCCACTCCCCACGAGCTTTTGTAATATATAACACCTCCCAGACTCCTTATTTTTGTGCAAGCTTGTAGATTTCCTCTTTAGACTGCCCATATGCCTCCATATGAGTCTCGAAAAGTACTCACTCTTCTGTTGAACTGCCCTCGAGGTTCAGTGTCTTTGGGTGGACACACGCAGCCCCCGTTCGTTTACGTCGGGGACATCAGTTCCACGAAATCTTGTACATCTCATCCCATCGCATCTCATCTCATTTCATGCCCATCTCATCTCATGTTCATCTCATCTCTTGCTCATCTCATGTCCATCGTATCTCATCTCATCTCATCGCATCGCATCTCATCTCGTTTCGTCTCATCTCATCGCATCTCTTCACATTTCTTCTCGTCTCATCTGATGCTCACCTCATTTCATCTCATGCTCATCTAATTCTCATCTCATCTCATGCTTACCTCATCTCATGTCATCTCATACTCGTCTCATCTCATCTGATGCCCATCTCATCTCATGCTCATGTCATTCTCATCTTATCTCATCTCATGCTCATCTCATCTCATGCTCATCTTTTCTCACCTCATCTCATCCTCGTCTCATCTCATCTGATGCTCACCTCGTCTCATCTCATCTGATGCTCACCTCATCTCATACACATCTCATTTCATCTCATCTCATGCCCATCTCATCCCATCTCATCCGCAGCACTCTTCCTTGGACCGCTCCCCGGCCAGCTCCCTGTGTAGCGCCATGGCCCGTGTTGCCGCCGGCCAGCTTGTCCCCGTGTTCATCGCCACGGACGCCGATCGGATCCCCGAGCTTCTTGGCCGCCTCTCTCGTGACCTGCCTCTGGGGGCTGCCCCGCTGGAGTCGCCCATGTCCGCCTTCTGTAACGGGCTGGCGCTGGGCGTGATGCTGGGCAGGCTGTTCGAGGAGCACTTTGCCGAGATGACTGGGACAAAGGTATGATGTGGGAGGTTTTTTGGCTGTTGTGTTGGGTTTTGTTGTCGTTGTTGTTTTTTTTCATGTTGTTGTTTTTTTTGTTTGGTTGGTTGGTTGTTTGGGTCTTTTTGTTGTTGTTTTGTTGTTTGTTTGTTGTTGTTTTTTTGTTGTTTTTGTTGTTGTTTGGTTTGTTTGTTTTTTTCTTGGGGG